AAGGTAAGAACCGTATCATCTCACATCTGTTTCATATAATCTGCGTAGGATCCTACAACATTTAGCCCTTCGTGCGGCTAATCCTAGAACGTAAAAATTTCTATGCAGTAGTATGATGAACAAGGATTTAGCTTAACATTAGTGCTGGAGACGCGTTTTGTTAATATTGCAGACCTTTATGACAGCCTCACAGTGCTACATACTTGCGTAAAATCAGCACCAAATTTTTGAACAAAAAACAGTGCTTCCGTTGTTTCCCCTTCTCATTTGTCGAAAGCTCTCCTCTTCCATTAGGCTGTTTCTTACGTGCGAAAAAACTCGCACACACGTCTTTTCGAGAAATCTTCGGATTGAGTGGAATTCTTAAGCAGTTTTGCTGCGCTAGCATATGTGAAGCTTCGAATAAGCGGCGTGCACCAGATCTCAACCAACTATATTGAAGTAAAGTAATTGTAGTGGGCACAGAGCGAACATATTCATATTAAAACACAATGGCATGAGCTAGCATTATATCTGCTTACATTTTATCCAGTTGATATCTACAGTCTGTGTTTGTCCTTTGATCCAAAGCGATAAAATAAATTAAAACACAAGAAAGGCCAGTGGTATCTTCAGTGGTTTTTTCTTCATATCTCTCCTTTTTAGCGGTACCAAGGGTTTTTTCCGCTTTCATTCTAACTTACGCAGGCACTTCCTGTGAACTTCCCTTTTATGTTTTTCACCTAGCCCACTTGAGATAAAAGATTATAATCATCAATCTTCATAAGAAAAATTAGAAGACCTTGGTATCAAAAATTTATAAATCAGAACGAGACCTACAAAGAAAAAGAAAATGGAGGTGTAGTATAAAACTGCGAGAATGTTCAACCTTGTGGTATGGAACGCTTATTTTACAGCTGGACTAGAAGTACTTGCTCAATCTGGCTGATATAGATACTTCTAAAGTATCGCAGTCTGTTTCTAAAGTTTCTTTGCATTCCTCCTTATGGATCCATCACAGAAAGAAGGATGGGGATGTTATCTGGCTAAAGAAAAGTCTGCAATTCGATATTTATTATTATCTGCAAATCTTTTAAGGTAATGTAAAACAATTTACAACTTAGAGTTGGAGTAGATTACCCGTAATGAAGAGACTTCGTAGCATTATTTAATGACAAGAATGAATAATATCGAAAAAGGAACAAGTGTAAAGCGTTACACCAAGGCATTAAGAACCAGTAATGGAGAGTTAGTGTTTGTGGAGGAAGAATGAAACTACAAAGTTGGAACAAATCATTGATGTAAAACTGAGCGTGATAAATATGAGCCTAATTTTAAAATGGATTATATTAGATCTACAACTATCTGATTTTTCAGAGAGGGGATGGCAAATCCTAGAGTATTTTGGAAGCGCCTTTTTACCCAAGTGCGCTGGTCCTGTTTAGCTTTTCCTGGACCGCTTTCAAGTTAATCTCTACGAGCTCGTTTTCTTCAAGTGACAGTGCTTTGTCGTAGTAGTATTCTGCCAGTTCGTATCGGGCCCAGCGTTGGTATAGCACCCCTGAAAATTGATACTAAATTGCACATGGAGAGATACTTGTAACTAACCTATGTTAGCGTGATACATGGCATTAGAAGGTCTAAGTTGCAGAGCTCTTCTGAAGTGCCATTCCGCTTCAACAAAGCTTCCATTTTTCCCAAAGCAAGTGCCCACTTGAAACGCTATTGAAGCCACGTTTTTTAACATGGCTTCTGGTAACGTTTTTGCAGCTTCGAGCACATCGTCGCACCTGCCAAGCTCATCCAGTAATACGAAAAGATTAGTGATTGCTTGGTGGTGGTTGGGATCAAGCCTGGTAATTAGAGAATGAGTCTGTATCACTTCATATGTGTTTTATAATATCAGGAGTTTTTTTGTGCTGCTCTCACCTCGTTGCGTTTCTCCAGGCGTCTAATGCGCTCTGTGGCTGAC